ACAGTGAAACATAGATTTAATCGCAAAACGCCTTCACCGGAAATTTTAAGTGACTCCCGACAAAAATTTAGCCATTACTAACTTTATAATACATAGTGCATAGACTAGTAGTACGAACTGATAATATTTTTTTATGACAACAAATATGCTACTCTTTGTATAAAATATTTCAATAAGTTACTTAAAAATTAACGTTTGTTTTCTTTCTGATTCATTGATTTAGATATAATTTAATTAAATCCTTTTAATTCCATAAAAGCCTTCCTCTCTTAACGAGATTACGATAATTATCAGTAATAGAGTTAACATTTTATACTTATTGTTAATTTTTTTAAGTTTTGTTATATGTAAAACTTGTATTTTTTATTTTGCTTTTATCTTGATTTAATTATTTCTTTTGATTATATCTTTAAAAGTCCTCATAAAATAAATACAACTTGATAAGGCTATATAGAAAACTTAGTTTCAAGGAAAACTAACTGTAACCAAACCAAATAACAAAGTCAACAACAATCAGACTTTGTTGTTGACTTTGTTATTTGGTTGGCGCTTAGTATAATTTTTTTGACGTTTTTGTTCACGGTCGATCGGCTCACAATCCCTAGCGGTAATTACCAAGAACTGCAAATCTCCTAAAAAATTCATATAACGTAAAACTAACACATGCCATTCTGATATTCAGAACCAATACGATATTTGGTGTTATTTTAAACACTTTAACTTTTTGCTTAGCACATATAGATTTGTTTATTGGTTTATATAGCTGTTAAAAGTGGAAGTAATTTCATAAGAAACATTTTTTTTTTTGAAATTTTAAATCATTAATTAATAAATATACTTTATTGCCCAGTAAAACATAAATATGAAAACAAATATTATTAGAAACATCGATGCAAAAGGCGGCCTTATTGCTAAGGTAGCAATTTTTATCAGGCTACCCTTAGCTAAAAGAAGGTATACCCATTGACTAAAGAGACTGCGAGCTAGTGTATTTAAGAAAGATGAATGAGAAAATTCATATACTAATATAATTAAATCATACAAAACAGACTACATTTTCAGGAAGATGAATCCAACTTGAGGAAATGTTCCTTGACATATTTAACAAGGACGAAAGCGATCTTTAAGATATTGCGGTGTTTGAGGATTAAAAAAAATAGAATAAAGAAGCGATAGGATGCGACAGTCGCTTCTACGAGAGATAGGTAACCATGACCAAAGTTAAATAAATAATTTTATGCAAACTAAATTTCAGAGTAACTTTTTCACATGAAAATTACTAAGAAACGTGAAGATTTGCTACTGCATACCTATCCGTGTACTATGCAATATTTTGTGATTATCTTCACAAGTGCATCGTGGTATCCGGCGCCGGCGCAACCAGCTGCATTCATTGTCCAGATGAAGTTACGATAAGCTTGACTTATCTACCATTCTTCTATAAGCTGCATAACTCGATTCTGGCTAGAGAGTTATTCAAGGTTAGCTCAGCTATAAATTTGCAATAAGTGATGACACTAGCCAGACTTAAATTGTTTTGTATACTGTTAAAACTGTTATATTTTGTTATGTTAATTTTTCACGTACAGTCATCAGCACGACAGGCTATACAAAAGAAAAAGAATGCGTGTAGCCGTGTGTGCATACTATAAAGTATTCATTATATTCGTCCAATACTGCTAAATAATGTAACAATAAAATATAACAACATTAAAACAACTTCTTATAAAATGATTCAATAATGTTTTTGTTGAGTAGTTTCATAATGGTGTTAAAAATAATCATTTAAAGTTATTTTAGTGCCTTTTGGATATTAAAAGAACATTGTTTTAAATACCGTTAGATGTACACTAAGACTCATTAGCCGTTATCCTGTTATCTAGTTGAAACAACTTAACAGCTCCACCCAGCTGGATTAATACCATCGGTTAACTGTTATACATTTACCGATTAGGTCTAAAACACGGACGCAAACGTTTTCTTGATAACACTAAGCTAACGGCTTTTACCTAAATATGCTTAAGAAATATATCAACAGTGTTTTTCTTGTTTTGTACTTACTTATCGGAAAGATCAAAAAGTCCATTTGTTTAAAAGCATCGCCTTTTTGGTTAGGAACTCTGTTAGAGTGAGTATAATAATAAACCTCTTTACTTTAATCGAGAAGGAAGCAAATAGTTATTTGATTATTATTTATTCTCTATCTTTACGTCGGATCACTTGCGGGGTAGGAAGAGATAAGGGATGAGACCGCCTAACTTTGTATTAATGACTGAATCATAGAAAAGGTATGTCAACTTTAACTCCTAATATTGTGTAAATCTAAAACAATAGATGATTTATCTTATATTATCCACTAAGTTTGCAGCTTACCTAATATAAAGATCAAGATTGCAATTTGTCAAAATCTTTGTTTATCGTTGACGAATAAAACCGATTTAAGCTGTGGATTTAAAATTCAATACACATACATAAATACATCTGAACGCTTATTAATTTTTATAACATATACTATCAAGGGCAAGGCCTGTAATTGATTTACAATAATCGTAAGCCTATAAAGGCTGTCTAGTGAAAACTTTTCAGACAAATTGAACTCTTTCGCGCAATGCGGTTTGAGGTATCTCTCTTTTTTACGTCAACTTCATGTACAGTTTTGATAGCTACGCCGTTGACTTTTACATATAAATATAACAACGTTATTCTGTTATATTCAAAGTAATGGACTAACAAGTGAAACTCCCACGGCACGAGATTAAATCCAACAGGAAGAATGTAAATGTTGTTATGATTTCCGGACCATAAACTGAACAGTTTAGATCAGGATGTTTACAACATGTCACAATCTTTGTGGTATGTATTAATGCACTTAAGATAAGCATTAATCCACATTCATATACATAGAATGTTATACCTGTCACACTTAATTAGTATACATGGAAAATTGTTATTACACATTTTTCAATGGTTCAATATCGTTAATAGAACATGAGCATTTCCAACGATTTCTTTTCAATAAATCGGAACTAAAGGAACATAAAGGATAAACATAAAGGACATAACAAATTACTAAAAAACGTCATTTTTTCGACTAAAATCTATAATGATACTTTTAAAAATCAACGAGATATTTGTTTATTATATCAATTTATTTTTTATTTCTTGATAATTAATTAAAGTTGTTTTTCTTTTTACTGTTGATTTTTTATATATAGGGAAGGTCTGTTCCTCATCAGTGGGGAAATCTACAGGTTTAAGATGACGATGACATTTATCATCTTAATCTGTCGCATCAATATTGGTCTCTCGGTCTTGTGTCGTTTTTTCGTCATCTTTAGGCAGATTCATAAATTCAGGCCATTCTTAAGACTTATCTTGGTCAGTGGTGTCACCTGTCAAGTGGTGAATATAGACAGTTAATAGCACTTCAACTACAACCCGTTATAGCATAGTTCTTGTTACTAGAGCACAATATTATAAGTATATCTGTCACCATTGATTTGTGAGAACACATGACTTCAGGTGGAGAGTTCAAGGGCAAAATGGAAGTATTTGAGACTTCATTGAAATACTATTATTACATATTGAGACCCTGAGCCCAAGTTGCATCCGTGTTCGTTGTACAAATATCAAAACATCTTGATAAAACAAACGAAATTCCTACCAAAGAACAACTTTTTTATCTTTCCCTTTTAATATTTAAAATATCTATACGAAAACAATATCCGTGTCAATAAATCAATAGAACACTGTAATACTGTAAAGTAATCGTAGTAAATCAATGGAGGAGGACATTTCATATAAAATTGTAAAGATAAATCCAAGGTGATGTCAAATTTTAGTTCAATAAATCACTATAAACAAGTCACTACTACTGTCTCGTTTTATAGACAATACAATTGATCACATCTATAAAATTAAACATAAAACAAACAAAATGAAACTTTCGAGGCTCATAAACTGTGAAAAGAGACATTTGGTAACAAATATGTTCTTTGAGTGTTTTATAAAATGACATTTTGATATGTATATTAATATTTGTAGCAATATCATTTGCATCTAGAATACCTTATGAGGACACCTCAACTTTTTTATTCTAAAAAATAAAGTCTAAACAAGCTGCTATTCAAAACGAGGTTTAAAGTGTTTTGATTATGCCAAATCATAACTGTAAGATTATCTCATTGAAAAAAAAACTACAAAAAAAATCACAATTTTTACAATAACCGCGAGTAATTTTAATAGGTTTAGACGCTCTATATCGCGTAATACTTTATACAATACTTATCTGTCTTATTGACTTGCTTGTTGATTTCGCCTTGTTTACTCTTTAGCTTTTGTGATATTGTCACAAAAAAAAAGTTCGTTACAAAATATCAGTTTCTAATCTATTTAACAATTAGCCTACTCAATTAGCCCGACTTTTGATGCCTTTGACTCAACTTCTTGTAAATGATTCTTAATAAAAAAAGGGAATTAACCAATGTAAACTTAATAAGAAACTTTAAATTCGTTTTTCTTATCATTATTTTGCGTTAATTAAGTCGGGCGGTAAAACATATACTCGTAATAACTCCGCCCGACTTCAATAACAGTTTCTTGCCTATTAAGTCACTTTTAAGATAAGTACTTACGCTTACTTTTTTGAAGTTTGAAGTCAGTTCAGTTTTTGAAAGTTAAAATTATATATATTTTTCTTTCAAGTCTACGTTATTCTTTAGTTTCTTTTTCTTGCGCTTTTCTCATCGGACATTACATTACATTTTTAAAATTTTTTTATGGATTTCGTTAATTAACTACATATTAAATAGATGAATTCAAGTTTTTGTATTTACGCCATTTTTAAAAACCTAATTATTTCAATACAAGAAGCGAAACTACTCAAAATTTCTGATTAACTCATTAAATTTGCACATAACGTCGATATACAAGTCAGACTCTGATTATTATTTTCAATTTATTATCGATAATAATTAATTCTTAATTAATCTTCTTCACAGTGGCCGCGATATGCATACTTCTTGAGGTCGGTGCGCTTCCGAGTCGCCGCAGTGGATTCACCTGCAACGACCCTGCTCTCTCTTTTCCACACGTTGGCGACACGTTCTCCATCTCTCTGGTCGCTGCCATCACAATTATAGTGCCATTTGTTGTTGTAAGCACTGATTATATCTATTTTTTTATCCCTAGTAGAAATTTTTGATTTAAATCCAGCCCTGGGCATGGATGAGATATACAGTAAGTAAGACTTATATCTATGCTAATATGTTATTTTATATTATTTTCTAGGAAATGGCATAAATTAAATTGGGTTGTCTCTAAATAAACTTTTCCATAACACTTTCTTTTCACGATTAATTATTTCCAGTAACTATGCCCGTAACGTCCTCAGAGTAATTTATAAAACGTTATCCAAAATCTTTTATTCTAAAATATGTTTTTTCAGAAATTATGTACAAAATTGAAAAGATAACAACCAACTTTCACACTTTCAATATGAGTAAAAATGTAGAAATCATTTTGGTAGGATTACACTGCAATAGCGTCTCAACTATCTGCACTTTCCAGATGTGGGTAGTTGAAGCAATACACCATCGGAACGATGAGTACAACATGAAACAGAACAAGCTGCTAGTCAGCGCGAAGATAACAGGTCTCATCTATAGAAACTATATATACGGAGCCATCGTCAACTTGACCATACTGGAGGTTGTCAAGTGCGTCATCGGATCTCCGAGACCGACTTTCTTCGATCTTTGCCAACCGGACAAGGCTCGGACGTGCAATGGGTAAGTTTTGCTTTTTAAGACCCAACAATCGAAACGACTTAAAATGGTTTTTGTTTTTGTTTATCGGACTGACGGAGGAAATGGATTTTCTTTTTTTACCTAGTCATCATCCCGATTGATTTAATTAACGTAAGTAATAAAGAAAGTAAACTTTTTGTTCTTAAACAGTATGTTGATCCTCTTTCAAGAAAGGCCATGACAAAATTTTACTTCTAAAACCTTTTCGTCTTTCGAGATGGGTATAAAAATATTACTATAATCTGATATAACGGCTGGTAGTCCGCAGGAGCTATTACGAAGCCCAGTTAGATTGTCCGTATCGGAGGACTATCTTTAAAATAACACTGAAGGCGTGTATACCAACGTGGATTTGTTCCATTTTATCATTTTTTCACACGAAAATATAACGAGATGAGCGTGATGTCATCTGATGTCTTTACGCCTCGGCGTTTGGAAACAGAATGTGTGCGAAAATGGCGGCAATTTGGTTTTTGTTAACGAACTGTCAAAGTCAGTGTCACCATTCTAATATAATTAAAAATATCGATGATCACGCTCTCTTTACAATCGAGTAATTAATTAATCGAGTAACTAGCAATTAAAATAAAAGAAACTAAATCAAACGATCTTCGTAATGATGATGCGACAGATAAGTGTGGCGCTCACACAGGGCGCTCATGTTAAGTTGGGGGAAAAGTCTTTTCGCATCTAGTATGCATTAACTTGTAATAAAATCTTTCTGGCATTAAAAAGTTTAAATTTTAAAGACGTCGAAACGAAAGTTAAAGAATAAACACTTCTGAATTTAAATTAGAAAAATGTGTGATTTTCATTTGTTTTTCTTACTGTCAAAAAGAGGAAATCTAATGAAGAAATTCGATACGTATTAAATTTTTATAACAAAAATGTAAAAACGCAACGCAAGCCGCAAAAAAAATATTGACGTTTACGGACCTAGTGCAATTTCTGGGAGAGTAGCACAAATTTGGTTTAAGTGTTTCTATCCCGAAAATTTTGATATCAAAATTGCACGTCACACCGGTCGCCCTTTTACGGATAAAATGTCTGGCATTTTTGAAAAAGTGGAGCAAGATTGGCATATCAGTAGTTACAAAGCAGCCGAAGAACTAGAAATTGACCACAAAACAGTTATGGCGCATTTGAAAAAAGGTAGGTACGCAAAAAGTTGAATATTTGGGTACCTCACGAGCACCAAATATCCAACCTTTTTGCGTACCCAGCTTCTTGAAAGAAACTCATTTGTGATTAATAAAACCGGACCATTTTTAAAGAAGCTGATAACTGGTGACTAAAAGTGAATCACTTACGACAAGAACATACGAAAAAGATTGTAGTCAAAGGTCGGTAAGGCTTCATAGACTGTGGCAAAATCCCGCTTAATTGCAACAAGGTGTGTGTGTGAGGTGGGTTTGGAAAGGCATTATTCATTATGAGCTGTTGATTCTAAATTCTACTTCAAACAACGGATGAGATAAAAGTAAAAAGTTAAGAGAAAGCGGCCAGAATTAATCAATAGAAGTTTTTCATTATGATAACGCAAGACCTCGCACATATTTTGCCACTCAGTAGAAATTAAGAGAGTTCGTCTGGGAGGTGTTAATGCATCCGCATCCGTTTAGTCCTGACCTTGCACCTTCAGATTTCGGCCTGTTTCTGTCTCTTCAGAATTCTTTGGGCAGTGTCAGGTTAACATCACGCGAGAACTGCTAAAACCACTTGTCTGTGCACAAATCATGTGCCTACCTACAAGATGACAAAAGGTTGTTGAATAAAATGGTACCTACGTACTTTAGTTAAATGTTAATAAAATTTATTAAAAAATATTTTGTATTTCAAAAATTCAATAAGTCAAAGTTTGCTTTTAACTGTAGTTCTACTTTTCAGACTTCAGTTTGCAAATCTTAATTCAAGTTATGATTTAAACCTTCCTGTACGAATATAACTATATGATTATTTTTATTCATTTCTGATGATATGTAAACTAATTATCCTGTGTTAACATCATTTAGATAGTCAATGAGCTGTATTGCGCTAGCAATACAATCTTTATTGCACACAGTTTGATACAAATTATCACTATAAACAATGCATTTTCTTTTATCTTGAACGTAATCTTTCTAAATTAATGATGTTATTTATATGTCAATAACGGAGTTATAAATAACATCCATTGTTTTCAACATTATTTAGAAACGTGTAGTATGATGATCCTTGACTGGAAAATTTATTACGTAATTTATGAAGCAAATAAGGAAAGACTAAATTTTTTAAGAAAATTGAGAAATTTAAAGTTTTATTTCTTGTTCATCGGGATTTATTGTATAACTCGTGCGAATTAACATAATAGATTATATTATACTGTCCTCGAACGAAAATTTGGAAAATTTTGGATATTGCTTGTAATTTAGTTAAAATCATATCTTTAAAGATTGTCTGTGCATCAGAAGCAGTGTGTCTTATATCCATTGTATCATAAATTGTAAAAAAATGCATTTCTTCGCAGTAGTATTAGCATTACGAAAGTAGACGTAATTTATTCATAATGAAAAATGCTTAATAAATCCACTGGCTCTCTGAAATGGAACTCGAACTCATGACCTTCCGCAATCCGGACGACTGCTCTAATCACTGAGCTACCCAGGACCAGACAGAACTGACGAATTATTCAAGCACTTGTTACTTTTTCGCTACTACAGAGCGTATTCTCATAAATGTTCAGGCAATCCACCCAAACAGCCGGGAGAAGTATTTTAAAAAATGGATTAAAATATAAAATGTTTCGTCTTTATCGAAAGTTTAAATATTTGTGGATTTTTTAAGCATTTTTCAAGCAGACGAATTTTTTTTTTTCGGAGAAATAAGCCTTCTGGAGTCACGGTTAGTAATTTGGTCCACTCCAGTCGGGTCACCTAATTGGATAATAACCATGAGCGCATTTTACTCCTTCAGGTCTGAATTCATAAGCAGTTTCACGTGCACGTCGACGAAGTACTCCAGGTACTTGATAATTGACTCCACGCGAAGTTTTCCGTCCGCGCACGCATCTCTCTCCATCTACTGCGGTTTGTTTTTAGCTGTGAGTATAATTTCTAATGCTAACATCAATGATGATTTTTAATAATTATTTAAAACGTTAATGATGATCATATGATGATCAATTTTTCATGTACCAGGTAAAACCCTAATCACTGTATTTAGTTACACCATTTATAAGTTAAGAATAGCTAAAAATATTCATATGATTTTTGAATAGTTTGACTTGTCTGCGCCCGTATTATTAGGCTAATTTAATATCCAAACATTGTAAAACAATAAATATATCAAATTGGATATGACAGTTGTCAATTAAACTTATAACATTGGCAATTTAATAAGATATATGCAAGTATTATAACATATTCAAAATTGAATAAAGGGAAGTATAGACGATTTCATATTAAATTTATTAATTTCTTAAAGTTGGCTGGTCTATTAGCTAAAATATTTAATAAAATGTGTTATTCTCAGTGGTACCTCCAGAGGCGCGCGTTCAGCTGGCACAACCGGTCGGTGCTGGTGGTGCCGCTGGTGCAGACGCTGTGCCTGACGTACGCGGCGGTGTGCGCTCTCACTAGGCTTACCGACCACCGTCACCACTGGTGGGATGTACTAGTCGGCGGCTCTATGGGCACACTGGCTGTTTTATACACTGTGAGTCATTTAAACGGTCTTAGCTACTCATAACCTTTTTTTAATATACACGAGGGACTGGTTTAGCCTGCTAATGTTAGTGGAATTTTGGAACGTCAATAACACTTCAACTATTACCCGTTATGGCACAGATCTTGTTACTAATTAGCAAAATAAAATATATATGTGTCTCCATTGATTTGTGAAACCAAACATTAGCAGAAGTGGTCTGCTGGACTCTCTGCCACGGGGACATATTCCGAGAGGCAGGTCAATATTTGGATGGCCTACCTGGTAAAACTCACTGCTGTGTACCTATATTGGATGGGTAAACTCGCTATCCTGGGCCACTCACAACTTATCAAATTATTATACAGTGCATGGATCGACATATTTTTTGGAGAGATTTGATGGGCCATTGGCTTCATTTTAATCATTTTATAAATAATTTAATAGTTGCAAATTTTGATAAATTTAATTTGTTTTTTAAATCGAATCACACACAATTTTATTTTGTATTAACTAATTGTTGGTTTAAATTAAACAGACATATAACGATATTTATTTTATATTATTTCTCTTACAAACAAAAGTATCATATAAAGGTTTTTAAAGGTATTCTGGGGTAATTTCATAAAAACAAAAAAAAATACCTATTTAAACAATCGTAATGTTTGGGATATGAGGTGTAAAGATAAAACGTAGCTTTACATGTAGAAACAATTATGTCTGTCTATGCACCAAACACCCTGTATAATCAATTCATTTTCCATTATAAATTAAATGACTTCATGTTGTTTAAGGTGCTGGTTCTTTGTAAGAACTTCTCGCAGCCAACAGTGGTCAGCACCAGTGACATATCTAGCAGCGATGGCAACAACCATCAGTCAGTCAGGAGACTGTTGTCCAGTGAACCGCATGTAGTGGTACCCTAGCCTCAGCAGGTGTAAGCGTGCGCTTACTTATTTAAAAAAAGACTGCTTTCGCGTTCTGTTGGTGAACGTTAGATGCCATAGTTAGAAGAACATTCGAAATTCAAATGGAGTAATATTTACTTTTTTATTTGTGTCTGAAATTGGTTTAAGTATTTGCAGCTCTATGTAAAAAGAATGATTTTGTGGAAAATCTTAGTTATTTATTATTTTAACTTTAGAGAAGTTTAGTAATTTATGTGCGAATGAGATATATGCATAAATTTATGTATTTGTTTTGTATATATTTTTTAATTGACTGACCATTTCATGTTTGAAAAATAATGTTAAAAGATGAGGCATATTTTTCACTCTAGGCCATAATTTGAAAACTCAGTGCAAACATTACGTTTGTGGCAATCAAACAATTTATTTGAATATGGTCAATCAATACTCTATAATAGCTATAGTTAGTATTGTTGGAAGACAACTAATACAACTATGGACAAAATGGTTAAATCAAGTATTAATTATTGTATAAGTCCCGAGAGATATCAGTTAATCTTAAGAACTCGTGATAATAGCAAAATAGAATATTGATTATTAATAAATTTAAGCTTTATAACTACACATTCACTGTCTACAACGCCATTGATACGTATTTTCAGCAATATAGAGGTGACTCTATTTCACATTCCGAAGCGATATTACTATCTTTAATAAAAAACACACAGCTATTAATTCTATTATCAATAATTAAGCTTTTATTGCTATTGAAATTGAGTTTTTTAAAGAATTTGTTCCGTCTAAAGAACTACTACCGTCGCTTAAATAATAATATCGTACAAGTTTAATGTGACGAAATTGTGCAAACAGTGTGTTTTTATTGAACAATTACCTTTGATATTATAATAGATAATTACGAAGTTTAAATCTAGTAAATATAAAATGTCATCAGGTTAAATTTCAACTGACGCGGTATTGATATGTAAGGGAAGCAAATACTTCTATGTATACTACTATACAAAGTGTTCAGAATTCATCTATCGCAAAATATTTTCAAAATCTGAATAGCCATGACTGATTGTAATTCTCTTTTATATCGCTAGTAAAAATACAGTTGTTAACACAAAATAACTTCAAATCATGAAACCAAATAGGCATGCACAATACTGACGCGCTGACGTACAAATCACAAAACCGTATATAAAAACTTAATATCATAATCAAGACTCAAATGCGCATGTAATTTCTATGCGAGTCTATCAAGTTTCTCGCAGTACACGCGCGTTAGTACGCGACGAATTTTCCGTAGAATATGCAATGTAGAATGTCATATGATATAATTTGTCAGTTCCGACGTTCCGCGACCGACGAGACGCGACGCATCTTCCGTCAAAAATGCACTGGTCCTAAATAATATCGTTTTATCAGTCATATTAGTCACAACAATTTTTAATTTGTCGCTTACAACCCTCATGATGCAACATGCACAACGCGTCAACCAACATAGTGAAGGTAATTTACCATCACATCAGTGAGTAATAATTCAGTATAGGCTAGTAGTATATATAGAAGTATTTGAAATAAAAATATATGCAACTGATACCTATTAGTAACTCTGACAGATGAGATACTAATTATTTTAATAACCATTTTTTATAGACGTTGTAATTGAAACTACATAAAATTACTAGGTATTATATTATTTACAAAAAAACTTAAACGTTCCAATTTTATCCTGTAAAGTTACTGGATAAAATTTTTAAAGAATATTTGAAAATAATGGCTAGTATATTTATATATATAACTTGGTTAATAAAAACCAGTGATTAGAACCATGTTAAAGCCTTAAATGACTTTATTTATTGCAATACAAAATAATATGTATGTGCCTATATATATGAAATTTAGACCTATTTTTCATTCTTTTAGATACTTCATTGTTATAGTTCAATAATATTGAGCAGTTTTTGCAAATTTTCTTAAATGATGAAAGTCTGCACAAAACTGCAGTCCATTTTTGTATGCTTGTCTTTGTATAGTATTATCATATCTGTAGTTTTATTTGTTACTCACGTACCTATCTCATGATAGACTATTTTTTAGAAATTCACTTATTTATTCTTCTTGTTACTATAAAATTAATTACTAGTCTGAAACTATAGAAAAAAAATGTTATAAAAAACAATTGCTTTTTTCTCGATTATATTAATTAGACGACTATTTTAAATAGGTAACAAATTTAAAAAAAGATAAGATAATGAAAATGGATATATAAGGTAATAAACCGTTTTAACCCTTATACATTTTTTTTAAACTGATATTAAGGCAATGCACTACTTACATCCGTGTAATTTATTAATTAAAATAGTTATAATTTATTTAAATATTAACAATTGCGACAGTATTTACTGTACGGTACCTGTCTAGTCGTAAGTATATATAAACTTTTATGTTTTATAAATATATTATAAGAGGTAGGATTCGGTTGTCACCCACCTTATAGCGAGATATATATTTAATGTAGAGGAATAGTAGCTATATAAATTAAGCCACCAACCACTTCTTAAGATATTTTATTTTTGTATTTTCCAATGAATTGTAAGCTATTTGCTTATAAATTTTTTAAATCGATCGTTTCGTTGAGACGAATTTGACATTCCTTCGCATTTAGTATTTGGTAGAGAGTAGATGTTTTTTTTTTAAGTTTATTTTGTATATAATAGATTTAAGTATATAATAGTGGGCGTGTGTGGACGCTAGCTGATGTGTGTTTGTTCAATTAATTATTAAAACAATTGAACTTTTCAATACTTGTTTCTTTTCCTCCTCGAGTAACTACGCACCCTTTAACCTATCAAAAACCTCCTAAAAACCCTAGCCATGTGTCATTAAGCTGACATGGTGATATTCCAAAAACACCAAAACAAATTTTACCACCTCAATTTTCAGTCTAGCATCTCCATATAAATGTTACTGGTAATGTGTATAATCCTGTATTCTATACAAGGAATGTACCTATATAGAATATGTATGTAATATTATATGCGCAGCATGTATGCAAAAATCGAAATCAAGGAAGGGAAAATGTGTGGGCAAGCAAGCAAAACGTGTTGCAACTCTGTAATTATCTAAAAATGTAAATAATTAAACAATGTAATTTAATTAATTATTATATTTCATCAATTTTGCATTGACAATGCTATAGTGAAAAATATTCTTAATGATAAATGCTTGAAAATCCACTGTGTCCTCTGAGATGGGACTCGAACCCATGACCTTTCGCAATCCGAGCAACTGCTCTAACGATTATGATAATAATCTTATTAATTAATATTATAAATGTGAAAGTTTCTTTGTTTGGATGTTTTGATGTTTATCGGTCAATCACGCCAAAACTACTGAACGGATTTTGATGAAATTTGGTATACACATAGGGTATTAGCTGACTTAGATAATAGGATACTTTTTATCCCACTAAACGTTTCCCTAGATTCCACGCGGGCGAAGCCGCTGGCGAAAGCTCGTTAAATATAAATTCAAAGTACCCAAGAAATCTTTACACACGAGCCTCGCTAATAATTCGCTTAAAAGTAAAAATAAACTTTGAAGTAGGTAAATCTAACTTATCAGAATACTAATTGACTTATTTTCTGAAATAAAAAACATTGATATTCATATAGTAATACTTTTCTTAATATCAAAGTTAACAAGAAAACAATTATTTGACCCGCATACTGCATGATGGATTTTTAATGAAACATCTTAATTAAATAAATTGGTTGACCCTCCTCTCCCTTACAATTGGCTCGTTACATGATATTATAACATTCATATTATGTGTGACCGATTTTTTAATTTTGTTAGGTGGGTCATAAAATTTACTTAAACTATAAATAGGACAAAATGTATTGTTTGTTTGCATCGAATAGACTCCAAAACTAATGGACCGATTTAAAAATTCTTTCACCTACTGGGAAGCTACACCACTTCTTTTTAACATCATCAGCGCATTACATTCTGATAGATCTCCTTTTGTTTTTATCTATATCATGGACGAGAGCTTTGATTCCATAACTTTACGCTTACACACTTCATGGCATTCCAATATCTTCATTAAATTATAATATACGATAAAATATGTTAAATACATACTAACTTATATTATAAATGCAAAAATAATTCTGTCTGTATGTTCGTTACGTGTTTACGCATTTATTACTTAATACATAAATATTTAGGAAGCGCCTAAGGTTTAAAAGCGTTTCACCAATGAGTAGGAAGGGTCGTTAGGTGGTTTAAAGTCATGCCATGAGTATGCGACGCCTTGCATTGAGCATTTCCATAACATGACAAATCACAAATTTTACAAGGGATAAAAGGAAAAATGTTCATTTTGAATTAAACTAATCTGTTAATCTAAGCAATGCCTTGTTCTAGGTTAATAAAAATGGGTGTGATCTTGCACTCTCGACGTAAGATCCGTCGCGAACTATCTGACTTCCTGAAGTTTGACGGAACTACCTTCAGATTTGCACCCTTAAACTGTAAAAAGATGACATTAGCTTTCATCAGTTTAAAAAATATTATATTTACTTAACAAATTTTAAATAGGTTTTAAAAATTGTTACGTTATAAAGGCATTAAATACTAAATACAACAATTTCGTCTTTGATGCAACTTCTAAGTTTTCTGGTGAATGTATAAATAGCGTCAGTTTTATTGCAAGAATAAAGTTAAATACAAAATCACGACTCAAGAGAAATAAGCACTCGTGACTGGAAACACCTACACTCTGATGTACCAACACAACTTACAGGGTCTACACAAGATTTTAATCAAATAACAAATTAAATGGAACACATAACCTACATATTTGGGAATATTTGTTGCGCTTGAAAGTATGAAATTGCCGTTTCATTCAGCTAAAAAAGTAAGTTAAAAAAATTACCAACATATTCAACACATTGCCAACATAAGAGTCTGAGCGTATCATCGATTTTCGTCGGTAGATAGTGTGGTCGTGGTCACTATCAATTTTAGAACGTTTGATTGGCTGATTTTTATACGGCAAATGCGTTCCATTTATAAGGTCCATTCCGATTTACCTGATCATATTATAAGCCGAATAAAAATAACTTAGACATTTAAAAAAATATATCTTCATCACCTTTTGAACTAGGGGGGTAATTTGCTCGCGTCCGTAGGAAACACCACCTAGTCCTAGGCTCACCCTACACGTGCCCCCCGGGTGGTGCTAAATGAGCAAACAACGCCGAGCAACGGGCGGCGGTTAATTAACCTGTCACTGGCATCCACAGGCCAAAGGGAACTAAATCCCCCTTAAAAGTCGTGGCAATAGTACCTTGGGAAAGTGCTTATTGAATATCTCCCACCTTTTAATCATATGAAAATGGAAAATAATAAGGAGTGTGATATGTCATGCGACCCGGCTAACCCCCGGCGCCAACCAGTATCCGGGCTGGATGGTGTGAAATTGGCTACCGAAGACTCCACGGGAGTGGGCACCCAGGCCCCCGTGACGGTAAATGCTACTGGTCAAAATAAAAATAAAAGTAAAAATCTTGTGCAGCAAGTTTTTCATGCTGGACTTTTCACAAGACCACGAAGTGCGTCAGTTGGAAGTGTCCCACCGAACAACAATGAGGAGGACGTCCCCAAACAAGCTGACAAAA